ATGTTCTTGAACGAATTTGATGCATGAGTCTTTTTCGGATTGGCCGCGGACACCCACTCTCAAGCTCTTAACTCCCCCGTTTTCACCTCATGGGTGGTTCTGGCGCTGTGCCGTACTTGGTTGGTGTGGCTCTGGGACACTTTGGGACTGTTTTAGGTTGGCTTCTCACTGAGTCTTTACAGCACCTGAACCGGACATCTGTGACCACGAGCAGTTCCACCAACACCTCCACTCTTACCACAACCAGTACCGACTTGCTGAATTTTGGAAGTTCGAAGGGTGGAAAGAAGTGGTTTGGTGGATCTGATTTCGGGGAGGAGACTATAGCTCTGTGGGTATTGGCAATCCTATCGTGGTGTGTAAGTTGTGTCTTGGCTGCCTTTCTCTGCCGGAACCACTTTGGACAGAGGATTGAGGTTGAGCCTGCATCACCAAGTCTCAGAGCCTTGGCACAGGCGCAGCTGGCGGAAGTGAGATTGCGAAGACATGGCATTGCTAAATCGGACGGCTCTTCTGGAGTATGATGTACCTGGTCCTGTTGTCATTCACGAGCGTGCCATCCTCCAGCACCTATCGGGGGATGAGTACGCAGTTTTGACACCAGATGGTGATGTGTACATAGAAGAGATGGCAGTTACAAACTCGGACCTTAGGTCCTTTCGACTGAGGCCTGCTCCTGGAGTTCTGCCGCCTGGTGTACTAGCAGCTCAAGTGTATGGACTTCCGGTTTTCACTCCTGCTGACATGGCTGGTTACCGAGCTGAGGCGCAGAGAGTTGTCGCTGCGGAGTTGGCCGCTCGCGGAGGTGGTGCAGTGATTGCTCAAGCGGCTGTTCCTGCTGTCGCTGGTATGGCGCCGGTTGTGGGGCCAAACCGAGTGGCTGGAGTTCTTCAGTGGTTAGCTGCAGAGACAAGAGGTGGCTATTCCTTTGGAGACCCTGTGCCAGGTGTGGCGGCGGCTGCAGCTGAACATGCCCGCAGCGTGCACACATTGCATGACGGTGTTGAGATTTTTGTGCAATGTGTTGATGGTGGCAGGGTGCAAGATTTTTTGGGGACTCCGGCTCTTTCGGATCACCGCATTTTGGCTGTGAAACTGAATCCTGTTGGAACCCCTGAGCGATCCTTGGGTGACATTGCCGCAGCATGCAAAGAAGTCCCTGTGAAGTGGAGCCTTCCAGGTCCTCGCACATCGAAGTGGTGCGTCACGTACCTCTCGATAGAGGCTCTTGGCTTTGAGGCCCATCATGAGAGGATGAGAACATTGTGTCGTTTGGAGCCGAATTCATGGGGTGTCCAGGAACACTTTCAGCTGTCGATGACACTCCGACATGCTCTCCAGATAGACCAGCTGGACGCTTTCAACCTGGCCTTTGTCGAGGTGATGTTCAGAAGGTTGCACACGATTGAGTATGCTCACAGTGAACGTGCTCGTGAGGCTGAGAGCAAAAGTGTCGGTGGAAGACTTTCCCTCGAGGAGCAACAAACTTTTGGGGGTCTTGTTCGCCATTCAGCCACGCTCATGATCTGCCCTCAGCTTCTGGATCATGTGAAACTGGAGATTGAGAAAGAGGTCGGTCTGCAGAAGAACATGAGAAAGATGAGAGAAGAGCGCGAGAATGCGCGCAAGGCCGGCAACAAGAAGAAGGGGGAGGAGAACCCCTAGATGGGGGGGCGGGTGACGGAGAACAGGCAAGCCGTCACCTGGAGCCCATGCCTGACGTTTTTCACCATGAAGATTGTCGTGTTCAGCGTGACCTTTTTCCTCTGCCGGTAGCCTTTGAAACGTGCCGGGCACTTTCCAAGGGTTTGTCTCGATCTTTGGTGAGGAGGCTCAAACGGACAGATGCTCAGAGGTGGGAGGTTCAGAACACTGCAGCTTCACTCAATGCTTTGTTTGATGGATGGGACATTCATCATGACCGTAGCTCTTTTGCTTCTTCACTTCATCCCATGAGTGCAGCACAGCAGAAGGTTTTTGAATTTATTGTACAATCTTTGCATGAGCTCGGGCCCATCCCCGATGGTCTCGACGGCCCAGGAGCTCTTGAGATGCTTCGGGCCTCGGGGGATTACGGAAGCGACCAGAATCCTGCCTCCCTCGGAAGCTACGATCCCGGGAAGCTCTCTTTGCCGGAGGCTGGCAATGTGCCAGTTCCTTTGGACACTCTTTGGGGGCAGAACGGGTGTGAATTCGTTGGTTCCTTTGTCAACAGTATCACAATGCCAGAGAAGGAAGCTCGAGCTAGAGTTGCTGCGTCGGGTGTCAGGGCGTGCTATAGTGATCCGCTGCTTCGTCGTCCGAAGACCTTTGCATCTCTTGTCAAAAGGCTGCATGCTTGTGGTCTTGTATCATTCTCAACTGTCAAGCCAAAGTGCAATACAGAGCTATTCTTCGTGAAGAAGAAGAGTGGATTGTTGAGGATGGTGGTGGACTGCAGGCACTCCAATTGTTTCTTTCAGGATCCTCTTGGGGTGTCTCTTGCCACAGGCGATGCACTTAGCCGCATTGAGTTGGAGCCAGAAGGAGAGTTATGTTTTGCCTCTGCCAATTTGAAAGATGCTTTTTATCACCTGGAACTGCCCGAAGCTTTGAGACCGTATTTTGGGCTCCGAGGAGTTCGGGCTTGTGACATTGGGCTCAATCAGATCAGCGGTCAGGCAGTTCAGTGGAACCAGATTGTTTATCCTCAGCTCTCTGCAGTCCCTATGGGCTGGACATGGGCTCTCTGGCTTTGCCAAACTTTGCATGAACGTATAGTTGGACTGGCAGGAGCAGACGACTCTTTCAGGCTTTCTGATAAAAAACCCGCACCTAGTACAGCTGTCCTTCACACCGAATATGTTGACAATTTTCACGTTTTTGGCACTGACAAGCAAAGGGTTTCAGAGATCAGTCAAGCCGGTATTGAGAGATTGCGTTCTGTTGGTTTGGTCGTTCATGAAGAGGAGGAGTCAGTTGGGAGTGCTAATGTTTTGGGCTGGGAGTTTACAGGGTCTGGAATTTTGAAGCCGTCACGCAAGAGGCTGTGGAAGGTCAGGTTGGCAATCCAGGAGATCCTCAAGAGGGGCTCAATTTCAGGTCGACAGCTGGAAAGAGTTGTTGGTCACATGTCCTTTATTTCGATGGGCCGTCGAGAAGGTCTTTCAATCCTGGGTGACACATACACTTTCATTCGTCGTTTTTACACTGTGCAACACAAGCTTTGGCGATCTGTGAGGCGAGAGCTGGCCGTGTGGTATGGCATCTCTCCTCTCCTCTGGAAAGATTTGCGGGCGCCCTGGAGCGATACGGTGCACGCGACTGATGCCAGTGAGTGGGGGTGTGGTGCGACAGTTGCAAAGGTTCCCATTGAACATGTCCGAGAAGCCGGGAAGTTTTCTGAGCGTTGGCGTTTTGGGGACCCAGCAATGGCAAAACCTCGCAACACTGTTGTATCTGACTTGGTTGCTCAAAGTGTTGATGAACATTATGAAGCTGAAGTTTTTCACCCAGGTGGCAGTGATATTGGGCAGTGGGGGAACAATTCAAAACCTGTTTTTACACCTTTGCCTTTTGAAGTTGTCAATAGACCTTGGGCTGTGGTTTGCAGGTATCGTTGGAAACGCCAAGAGTCAATGCCGATTTTGGAAGCAAGATCTACCCTTTTTGCTGTTAAACATATAGCACGTTTCATTGCAAATTTTGGTCATCGCCATTTGCTGTTTTCAGATAGCATGACTGCGATCTCGGGTATTAGCAAAGGTCGTGCAAATGCTAGAGGGTTGAGACGGGTGACGCAACAGATTGCTGCTATTTGTTTGAGCTCGAGACTGGCCATACATGTACGTTGGCTGCCTTCTGAGTGGAACCCAGCCGACTCACCTTCTCGAGGAGGGTACTCTGCCTCAGTTCCAACCAGGTGCATAGACAGCCACGATGGTGATTCATCGGTCGCTTTCCGTGGCGGTGACCTCTCCTTCCGGAGTACTGTGGACGCCAAAGTCGGCGAAGCAGACAACGGAGAGGAAACCGTCAACGAAAGTAGATCGAGTGAGAAAAAGGCGGACCGAGAAGAAAAACCAGATAGCCGACATCCCCGGTGTCAACATGACCACCTTGATGCAAGCAGCTGTCCAGCCTCGAACTCTGGAGACATACAGACGTCACTGGATGGACTTCAACACTTGGTGTCGAGACCGGCGACTAGGAATCAGCAGCCCTGCAGAAATAGATCTGAGTCTGAGCCTTTATATGGAAGAAATGTACCTCGACGGCTACGACCTCAGCTTCGGACGCTATGCACTGGCGGCGATGACTTTCTTCCGCCCCGAGCTCAAGTCACCGAAAATGCAGGCGTTGCCAAGGTGCAAGCAGAGCATGCAAGGCTGGCGGAACCTCATGCCTCCTCAGGCAAGACTGCCTATTCCCTGGGAAGTCACGTGTCTGATCGCAGCATGGGCGCTCAAGCGCGGGATGGTTCAAATGGCAGTGGGATTGTTGCTGGCGTTTGCGATGTATTTGAGACCATCGGAACTGTGCCGGATCCATGTGAAAGATGTGGTCATTCCGGACAAGTCCCTTCGACGCAGGCACAAGCATCTGGTGGTGACATTGCATCCCTTCGAAGGCGGCATCCCGTCAAAGACACACGAGTTCGACGAAACGATCATTTTGGACCTGCCTCACCACAAGTTTTTGGAGCAGGCGATAAGAGACATGATCCAGCAAATGCAGTTGTTTCCCAACCAGCTTTTGTTTGGACTGGACACCAGCCAGCTTCGAGACTTTATGAACGAGGCGCAGACCACACTGCAGCTTCAGAAGTTGGGTACAATGCACCCTTACCGACTGAGGCATGGAGGAGCATCCTGCGACCTGTGGGAGCACCATCGCAACCTCGCCGAGATCATGAAACGAGGTCGATGGCGGGCAATGCAGTCCGTCCGACGCTACGAAAAGGGTGGCCGTCTGGCTCAGCTGATGTCCGCACTGCCCAAAGATGTTCAACAACTGGCCCAATGGGCAGCAGAAAACATCGAAGACCTCTTCAGCAACCGGCGCTTGCTCAGGCGCCTTCCATAGAATGTCCGATGTTCCTTGAGATCTTCAGTGGCAGTGGCAACTTGTCAAAGGCAGTCGTTCGTGTTTGTCACTGGAGTTGTGGGACTTTTGATATTCTGCAAGGAAGTGAATATGATCTCAGATCTGGACGAAACCAGCGTCTGGTGAAAGGGTGGATTCGGTCTGGCTTAGTCAAATCAGTTCACCTGGGAATGCCTTGCAACAGTTTTTCTCGTTCCCGGGATCGTAGACCTGGTCCTCCACCACTACGTAGTGACGAGCACCCCATGGGACTTGATAGCTTGAGACCATCAGATGAGCTCAAAGTAAGAGAAGGAAACATGTTCTTGAGATTTTGTTGCCAAGTTTGTCATTTGTGCATTTTACTTCATATACCTTTCATTTTGGAGAACCCTGCAACTTCACGAGCATGGCTATGCCCTCCTTTGCAAGCAGTCATGCGCAAGAAAGGGGTATCCTTTGTTGATGTGGACTATTGCGCTTTTGGCACCCGGTGGCGAAAGAGGACACGTTTCTTGTTCTATGGCGTTGACTTGTCACATCTTGCTGTTTACAAATGTCAGGGATCAAAACGTGGTGTTTGCAAATTTTCTGGCTTGCCGCACTTGGCACTGATGGGGGTGAATGAGGCTGGACAGTTTATGACTAAAGTTGCCGAACCTTATCCTCCCCAACTCTGTGTTTTGATTGCAAGGGCTTTGCTTGATTGGCGCACCAAGACGATTGCTGATAATTTTTGGTCACGGCTTTGGCCAGATGGCGCAGCAAAGATGGGAAAATGACTTCTGCGATCTTTTTCTGCTGGCTATGATGGGTCCGCATCTGCTCAGCTGAGCTACTCTCTTAGCATCGAGAAGATCTCGTTGCTGGACGCATTGCGTGACATCCATCTGGCCTGGAGAAAATGGCAGCTGGGCTTCA